TATAGCTCAGTGAGAGTGCTTGGCCAGCATGTGGCAAGGCCCTGGAATCAATTCCCAGCATGGCAACAAAACAAAAACAAACCAACAGCAGCTAACTCATAGAAGCCTCTAAACCATTCACTGTCTTCTGTCCTGTTCTGCACTTTCTTTGTGAAAGTGTCCTCCCCCAGTGTGTTTCTGAGAAACATCCCAAATCACCTGCCAGAGCTGCCTCCCATGCAGTTGTGTCCAGCAGTACCTGCAGCCTTGTGCATACTTTAGAATTTCATTGAGCTAATTGTTTCTGTATGCTTCCCACCTTTCCTCACATTTCCTGTACTACCACCGACTTAGTGGAGCCTTGTCTTTTCTTATCTCTCATTTCTAGCCTCTCTTCTGCTCTGACCACCAGGTAACATCTGTTTGGTGAAGGAAAGCTTATTTGCTTATATTCATAGGCACCTACATGATCTTGTCACTGTCTAGATTCCCATATTCTAAGTAAGATCTCCATCATTTTCGAGCATTCAAACTGAATCCTTAATATTACTTAAAAACAACTGGCCTTACCATTTGTTTTCCTGGCTGGATTACTTCTTCCCCCCAATTTCTGTCCCTTCATTATCTAAAGGTAGAATTTTCTCCAACCAGTCAAACTTGTTAAACTGACCGAGAACACCTTGTCTCAATGCTTTCATTGCTAATTGCTTTACTCTTGTCAGCTTCCATCTGTCTTTGCAGATACCACTTCTTTTTTTTTTTTTTATTTAATTTATATAACCAAGTCCATTTAAATGAAAGCAAACATTTATAGACAATATTTGGGAATTTGGGCATCGTTCTTTCCAAACTACTTCCTGCTGGTAAGAGGCGCTGTCATGGGGGATTTGAAGAAGATTCAGAAATCCTGGCTGTAGTCTGCAAGGCTGCTTTGTCCAGCTGTTTTGAATGTAGGATCACCTGGTACTCTGTTTCAAGTGGTCTGGCTTGATCAAACCACATTAGTCTGGAAGGAATCCCCAGCTTTTCATTTTCTGTGGAAACAAAAATAGAAATCCTTTTCCCCAGTAACTTGTCATTGAACTTAAATTTTGGAGTCAAAGCATTTTTTTAATTTAATTTATTATTTTACATGTTGTTCCCAGTTCCCTCTTCCTCCATCCCTCCTTCCTTCCCTCTCTGCCTTCCTCCTTTCCTCCTTCCTTCCCCTTTACCGTCTCTGCCCTCTCACATGCACTCTAACCACCCTCCACTCCCATCACCCCACCCCAATTCCATATGTAGGGATGTGGGACATCTACACAATGGAATACTACTCTGCAGAAAAAAAAAATGGTATCTTGAAATTCGCAGGCAAGTGGATGGAACTTGAAGAAACCATCCTGAATGAGGTAACCCAGTCACAAAAAGAGGAACACAGTATGTACTCACTCATATGGATTTTAGACCTAGATCAAAGGATCACCAGCCTATAATTCACATCACCAGAGGAACTTGGATACAAGGTGTATTCTAAGAGATTCATATAATGTCCCTCACTGAACCGGGAAGGGACAAGTCCCCCAGAGCTCAGGGGAAGTGGGGGGGGGCAGTGAATGGAGAGAGAAGTAGGGGAAAACGAGGGGGAGGAAAGGAAAACATGTGCGACCAGGAAGATTGAGCCTGGTTAGGAATAGAAGACAGGAGAGGGAGAGAGGGAGAGAGAGAGAGAGAGAGAGAGAGAGAGAGAGAGAGAGAGAGAGAGAGAACATAAAAGAGGGAGGAGCCAATATTGGTTTGAAGATAAAACTGAACACAAAGAAAGGTCTAGAAAACTACAAGACTGCTGCCAGCTAACAATTTGAGCTTCTGTGGAAAGGCCACCATAAATGCCCTTCCCGGAGAGTGAGATCAACAACTAACTTATCCATGGAGCCCTCAACTAATGCCTGTTGGAAACAGGAGCAAATACCCATACATAAACACTGAGTCGAAGTAGAACCCAGATGCAGATGGAGAGGACAAGACCAGGCAGCAGAAACACATAGAGACAGCTTACCTGAACAAGGAGGAGCTAATGGGCCACCAGACTGATAGCTGGGAAGCCAGCATGGGACTGACTCAGGCCTCCCTGAATATGGGTCTTAGCCAGAAGGACTGCACAGTCTAAGGGACCTCAGAGAGTGGAACCAGGATGTATCCCTGTGCCCAAAGGTCCTTGCGAACACATCCCCCATGGAGGGATAACTGCCTTAACCTAGAGACAGGAGAGAAGCCCTAGTCCCTAATTCACATGACCTGCAGATACCACTCCTTAAGTAGCTACTGTTGTGACCATTTTAAGGATGTAATAATGGTATTTCATTGCAGGTGTGTGAATTTTGCATGATTATTTCTAGTTAAGGTCCCATTAGGAAATACAATTTAAGAAGAGGCCATTTGCACCCCTGCCCCCACTTTTTTCCTACCTGTAACAAGCCAAAGAAACTCTTTTGCCTGGAGTTGTTCTTCATGCTTAATCACCAGAGATGGGTAATTGTGGTTTCGTTGAACCTGAATGTAGACAAACTCTAACTGAAACAAACCTTCCTCTCTTTCCTAGCCTTCAAATCTCTTGGTAGCATTTCTGAAGTTTTTTTTTTTTTTTTTTTTTCAAGTCCAGATATTCATTTGGCCCATTGACCTCGCACAAATGTTTTGTACTCTGTCTTTGGTCATTGCAATTTACTTTCTTGTCCAATATGAATGTACATGGAAAATGATTAAAACATTTATGCTGTTCTTTTGTTAATTAGCTATTACGTTAACTGAGTTCTTAGAGGCAGTCAAAGAGTGTGTGTTAAGTACAAGGGGGTGGCAGTGGATGCTGGGCCTTCCTTTCTCCCTGTAGCTCTTCTAGCCTCTATACCTTAGTATTTAGGTATTAAATGACTCTCTCAAGACACTGAAAACATTTCCTGGTCACCACCTTCATCTTATTTTTTTCCTCCTTTGCCAAGACTTAATTTTAATTCCAAGTTGAATCTCTGCCTTTTAGTAGTCTTTCTAGAAGGTAGTAGAGCTTGTTGATGGTGTTACAAATAGAAAATATGAAGTTGATTTCAGTGACATGTAATGTGGCTTATTTCATGTAAATGTTATATTCTCTGAATTTCTTCCAGCTTCTATGATATTTTAAGAAAATTTATGTACCAGTTAAAGAAAGGTATCTATCAAAAAAGAAGCTTGCCCTTCTCAATCATTCCTGAGAGTTTGTCATTTTGGGTGAGAAGAATGGATGGGTTCTAAATGACTTCTCAGCCCAAAAATGAATGGTTGGTTCACCTCTGTGAATATCACTAGTGACAGTGCACTTAGGTGGCAAGGTGGCGTGGAGATGACTTTAGCATGGCATAGATCAGTGTTCAGGAATCTACTATATTCTCCTGCATGCACATGCGTGTTCATATTCTTTCTCCCCTGTCCCTCCCCACTCCTCCCCCCACCCAGCTAAGGTAGGTCTAACAGGTATTACTACTTGTCAGTGTTAGGAATCATATTCGAAAGATGATTCATTTTCTCTAGAGTCTAGGTCTTGGTAATGGTGTATTGTAGTGACAGTCTGATTTGAATTAGAAAGTACTGTCTTTGCTCCTCTCTATACATTAATATATTCTCTTCTAGTTATAAAATTTGACACAGTATTGTTTATCTAATAACAATTGGATTAGTGTTTATAATGTTTTTATGTGTATACTCATTCATAAATAGTATAAATTATATTAGGATGACATTACTTAAAACATTTTTTGATGGTTCTGTCAATTTTATTTTATGTTTTTTTTGATAATCATTTACCATTTTTTCTCCTATCATACAGAATTACTGACCATATATTTATCTTGATTTCATTTGTGCTAACACACTCTTGGTTTTGTTGTCTTTTATTTAGTAAGCATTTAGTTGCCTCTGTAATTCAATCATGACTGTCTTCCTGTAGGCACTTCATCATCTTTATAATCAACTTTGGTTTTCTTGTCTTCTTTTACTACTTTATTCATTTACATGTTCTCCTAAACATTATTTCAATCTCTATTTCATGTGGTGTTTAATTTTCTTTCTTCTGATTCTGAAATGAAGGTGATGATTTGATGAACTGTTGAAATTCATGTTGAAGGAACAGATGCATAGTTCACTTCCCTTGATTCAAATTCATAAGTTCAAATTCAAGCATAAGTCATCTACTAAGCATTCATACAGGGCTGTCCATATTTCCTTATGTTTGCCTAGAGAAAAAGACTACTTATTCTAGACTTGCAGCATGCCAATGCCACATAGAGATAAAGTGAACATTAAACTGCATTGGTCAGAGTGGTAAACACTGGGTGATTCTCAGATTTAGATATTTCTAATATGTAGTGACCTGAATAAGTCATGTTACAAGGTATTGACTCCATTATTTACAAGAATGTATCTGAAAGTATTTGAGCTTAAATACTGAAGGAACAATTTTCATGTAAAACATTGCTTTGAAATCCTGTCTATTCACTCAGAACCTCAGTGCTGCTGGGGAAATAAATGTTCTTAGTTGTACTGAGATATTTGTAACCTGTGATTTCCTATGGTGGTTAAAAGTCCATGTTATAGTACTGCACACTCATTTTATGATCAGAAAATACAGCTTATGTATATTTTTGAATACTGTACTCAGTAACTATTTTTGTGACATTGTGATGAGTGAGCAAATCTTTACCCTGTTATTTTTCTCATTTTGATTTGGGGGCATCCATAAGGGGTATACACACGTGCGATGTAAGAGCCAAACAAAGATAAACAAAACTATACTTTTAAAATAAAAACTTGACCATAATAAAGGTTCAATAGGCTTTTGTTGTTTTCTCTGATTGTTGTTTTCAGTATGAAGGTGGAATGGGCAGGTGATCTTGGTGGGAACTGGGAGGGAGAATAAAAATTTATGTATATGGACCATGTATATAAGATATTACTGCACTAGTATTATTTGTAGGAAATCTGATAGAATTTTCTTCCTTCTGATCTCACAGTATCAAGTCATGGGTGGATAAGATGCAAGAAGATCTTGTCACACTGGCCAAAACAGCAAGTGGAGTGACTCAGCTTGCCGATGTGAGTACTTCCACTTTGATTATTTTTTCTGCTTATGTCTTTTAGGAAACTGTTGCTCTGTATTACAGAGAGTATATGATTCCAGTTCACTTACCATAGTGAAATTTTGTGGGAGCCCCTGCATAGTGCTGGTTATGGGAAAGCAGAATGGCATGGCTACCAATGAAATTATTAAGCACCACCCCCTCCACACCAGATTCAGATTTAGATGCCATATACTTTTTAGAATTCTGCTTTTAGGGGCAGGAGAGATGGATCAGTGGTTAAGAATACTGACGGCTTTTCTGAGGTCCCGAGTTCAATTCCCAACAACCAAATGGTGGCTCACAACCACCTGTAATGAGCTCTCATGCCCTCTTCTGGTGTGCAGGCATACATAACAAACAAACAAACAAACAAACAAATAAATCTTAAACAAATCTCAAACAAAACAAAACTCTGCTTTCAGTCTTCAGAATGTGTTTTAGAATTCCCAATAATGGTGACTAAATATAATTGAAATGTCCTCAGTGGAAACACTTCTTCACTCTTTGAGGATGGATTTTATTTTAAATATTTGCAAAGTGTTTATAGCATAATTGAGATTTGTACAAAGGTATTGATGCACAAAATAGGGACACCACTAAAGGTAAATTATTCATAAAATTTCCAAACTGGCTGTGAGAGTTACTCTAAAAAGAGTTTGAAAAGCATTTGGATTATATAATAGAAACATTATTTGTGTAAGTATTCTGTATGATTATAACACATCAAATGTCATTTTAAAGAACTCACTGATTACTGAGAAAGTAATATAAAAATCTGTGTATATTTTCATTCTGTGTTCTTAGTTAAATAATGATGCCTTTAATATTTCTAGCCTGTGATGTGTTAATTCAATGACATTGTATAAAACAAGTTTCATGGATGAGGATATAGCTTGAAATCAGGCAATCAGGCATGTGCAAGAGTTTGATTCAATTTTTTTCATGTGTTTGAAAATGAAGTTATTACCCAATTGTAAATTTTTTTTAATGATTCACATATACCTATACATGAAAGTAATTTCCATGTAAGTTTTACTACACTCATAGTAAATAGGTCATATGAGGTCAGGTACAGAATTTTATTTTGACCTTCATGCCATGTCCTCAAACAGCTTTGGATTTTATGGCATTTTGTTCCACATGCATAGTAATACTCTTCTTTGGGAGAAACTAGATTATAAAGTTAACTTGTATATCAGAAATTCCCAATGAAGGCCTGCTAACTAAATACTTCAAAAATGACCCTAGAATGTCTTCATAATACAGTTGCAGATATTAAACAAAAAATGTGCTTAATAGTCCTTATTTTTGGTGTATATCCCTGATTTCATGATCTAAAACTTTTGCAGGGTGGGGCTGGTACACTAGTATGATGGAGTGCAGTTCCAACACATGTGTGCTCACCACATTGTGTGACAACTCTTCAGGGATATAAGATATGCATCAACTGTAAATTAATTTCAGTTCAGTCCTATCCCCAAGATGTCCTATTATATTTATATGGATATTCAGCAATCTGAGGGAAGCTGAAATCTAAAGCACTTTCAGTCCCATGTTTCTGAGGAGCCATACTCACCTGGTATCTGCAGTATGTTTGGGGAGGAAGCATGTTTCTTTTAACTATTGATGCTCTCTAGTGCTGGGACACACAGACATAGGGAGGGTGTATGCTGCACTGTGTGATTAGGAATGATTCACTTTAGAAATATATGAGTATGTGCCAGTGGGTTAGGTAGTATGTGAATCTCCATTTAAGAGGTAGGATTGGTAGAGCACATATTATTTGTTTGTTTTTAATTTAATAGATTTAAGTTGACTATGGGGAAAGCTTTCATGCAACCACAGTGACAAATGACAGATTCTACCGTAAAGTTCTGTAACTGTTATTGGCAAGTTAATATTAAAAATAAGCAATTGCTGGGGGCTTCCCCTTCTTCCACTCCTTTATTAGCCTCACAGCTTCCACCTACCTGATATCCTTGTTACTCCTGCTGTGGGAATTTTGTCTTGCTGAACTTGTTTTCTCTTTTACTTCAAGAAATTGTCATGTAAAAAAGTCTCATTTGCTTTCAACTATGCTTTTCTGTATAGTATAGATTACTTAGAAGATTGTAAATACTAATGATTGAGTTAATGACTTTCAATTCATAGAACATAGAATGAAGAAGAGAAAGTTTAGATATTTTGTTTATGAGTCATAGGCCATAATATGGTGACAATAAAATTTATAAGGAATTATGTGGTGAATGATGTGGGGGGATGTGAGAGAGGTGGGATGAGCTTCTACCCAGCTGTACTCATTGGGCCTTGAGGAATGGTGGCCTCAGAAGTTGAGCACATGGTGGAATTTATTGTGTCCCAAAATTGAAAGTCACCATTGTAGGAATAGTGCTTCTTCCTGAGTTAATGATATTTTACTGGTTTCATAGGTTTTGAATGTAAAGGCAAGAAACCTTATAATTAGCTAAATTATTAATGTACATATTTGATATGTTATTTGTGAATATATATTTGGAATTTCATGAAAATTGCTTTATGAGATCATAAAATATTATTCAAGGGAAAGGAATAAATATTGTCGGATGAGTTCTATACTTTAAATTTTTCTACATGAGTAATTATGTTGTATTAAAGATCAAGCATAGGGGCTAGGGAAGTGCCTTGTAGGTACAGTGCTTGCTTCACAAACTAGTAACTGTAGTCTGGGTCTCTAGCACTCAGGAAATGCTAGGTGGGCATGACAGCCTGCCTAAAATTCAATCTCAGGAGCAAAGATGGGATTCCTGCAGCAAACTGAGGAGTGGACCAGGCAAATTCTTCCACATGTCGTCATGTCATTTCACAGCCTTCATTTAATGTAGGGTTTCTCAACCTGTTGGTCACACCCTTTGAAGGGTCAAATATCAGAGATCATGCATATTGGATATTTGTGTTACTATTCATAACATTAGCAAAATTACATTTAGAAGTAGCAATGAATATAATTTTATGGTTGGGGTCACTACAACATGAGGAACTGTATGAAAGGGTCACAGCATTTGAAAGGTTGAGAACCATTGATGCAATGGAAAGATGTTGGGAAAGAGATACTCAGTCTTTTACTTGTAAAACATTTGCTTCACATTGCAATGGACAAAAGTTAGTTATATTGTTCCATGCAATTAGTAAAGTCAGGAAGGGGATCTTTATCCAGAATGCTTAATCAAAATTCTACCAATGAGAGAGGTCAGGCCAAATAGCATGTAATAAATAGCTCTTTCTAAGGAAGTATTTAAGACATGATAACACAAAGCTGAAGCTGTGATCCCAAAATTTACATATTATTGTCTGTGAAAGAAGACAAAAATCGTAAGATTTATGGACAGCATAGAATTTCTTTTCTTTTTTACTGTGCTGGAGTTTGAGGACAAGGTTTTTTGTGTGCTAGGCTAGGACTGGACTCCACTGCAGGAAACATGACCTTTTAAATATCTAAATTACAGACTGTTGCAAATATCCTGTCATTTCACTATATGTGCACACACACACATTCTACAAGCATGAGAAAGTGACAGAGATGATCAAGGGAGGATGTGATATGTGTGATATGTGATGTTTAATCTCTAACATACAATATTTTCAATTTGAAGTCTTCTTCTTCTTCTTTTTTTTTTTTTTTTTTTTTTTTTGGTTTTTCAAGACAGGATTTCTCTGTGTAACAGCCTTAGCTGTTGTGGAACTAGCTACTAGCTCAGTAGACCAGACTGGCCTTGAATTCATAAGAGATCCACTTACCTCTGCCTCCAGAGTACAGAGATTAACAATTTACACCACCACTGCCCAGCTCATGGTAATCTTGAAAACCACATCTATGAATGCATGAACCATTCACAAGCAACCATCTCTTTCTTTAATCTACTGAAAAGTATTTTATCTTGATGATATTCTGAAAACTTGGCTCATATCCAAATGAGGAGACATTCTAAATGAATGGACTCTAAAGTCATGAAAATTTGCTTTATGGAAATGTTTTCTAAAACTAAACCAGTGAGTAAAAGCTATTGTTTATCTTTTCTGTGCAATTCATTTCTGAATCTGCAAATGTTGTATCAACAGGGAATTGATCGTGGCAGTATGTCAGAATACCTCAGTCATTATATTTGATTGCTTCTGCCACCTCCACCCCAGGGAAAGCAAGCTATATAAGGAGATACAGTCACCTGGGAGATCTGTTGTGTCTTCTGTGAACATTTGCTTTTATGTTTCCTCCTTTCTCTTTGGGGCTTTCTCAGAATGTGGACTTTACTAGGATAAGAGTTTCAGGTTGTAATTTATATTGACTCAGTATTTAGGGGAACTTTCTAAGGCCTTGGTTTCAGCTATCTTCACTTTTAGGTAGATAGCTTGATCCTGAGAAGGAAATCTAGTCCAGTGACAGGGCAGGTCTTCAGGTTGAATATGATTGGCGCTCAACTTTTAGCTAACAGTTCTTGATGCATTGAGGTCCGAACTCACTGCATTAAAATTTTATGCAAAGGCTTGGAAATAGCTCACTTAGTACAGCGCTTGCTGAACATACATGAAAACCCGAGTTCAGGTCCCCTGTACTCAAATAAAGTGGGGTACAGCATCGAAGGACTATAAGCTCAGCCTGGTTGTTTCTTCAAATCCTATTTCATTATTCTCTGAACATATATTAAAGCTGTCTCCTGGTTGATATACTTATACTTAACTCTTAGGGTCTCTGTCACTTTTCTCAAGGGACTTTTCTTTGTCCTTCCATGCGGTGAGATCCAATGGTACTTTGTGGTTTAGAGTTGCTATGCCTAATCATGCCGAGTTACCTTTTAAATTCTGCTGCTCTAGGACATAGGCTTGCTCTTTTATAATGAAATGAAGCTCAAATTCCACCCCCACTCTGAACAATTAATGTTATATGTAAAATATCTAAATACAAAATACATTACTTATAAAACTAGCTGTTTATAATAATCTTCTTGGGATATCTGTAGCATTTCATGGCATACTGCTAAGTATTATAATTTCCAATATGTTTTTTGGGAATTTGATAAAAAATATTAAGTGGGTACTTTTTTATATAGTATATTTGTGATATTTTAACAAGTATTACTTTCAAGATTATGTTGGAAAGAGTTTAAAAAGTTTTTTAGTGACAAGGAATTACAAACTATAACCTGTATTATTATCACAACAAAACTTGGTTTTTAAATATAACAATGAAATCTATTCAGTACAGTTAAGATTCAGAGTAAGAAAGAATACACAAGTGATGAGTTTTCTCCTCATCAAGGTGGTGTCAGGTGTGGCCATCAGAGGATTTGCACTATGAAAACTGGAGCATCTTAGTGTGTCCTGATGCAGAGCATCCTGTTTTGGGTTCTCTTTATGCTCTGCATTCTTTCTAGTAGAGAAACAGGCCAGTATTACAGCATGTGAGGCATTGACATGACTATCTGACATGTACCAAACCATGTACTATTTATAATACACTGTTTCTCTTCTAAAAAGAAAACTGGGTAAATTACAATGAAGACAATCATTCAAACTTCCAACAAAGGGGAAAAATTAAGAAGCAAAGATCCTTAGACCATGTTTTTAAATAGTGACAATTAACATGTTAAGATTATAGAGATATAGATTACTTTAGTGATAGGAAACTGAATATACTTATGAGTAAATATCATGCCATCCTAAAACTCTATATAAAAATCTTCTAATCTGAAAACTTTCCTAAGATTCCCCAATATTTCTGATAATGGTATTCCTGCTGAAAACTTTCCTCAGAGTTCCCAGTGTCTCTGATAATGAATAGCATTCCTGCTTTTTAAAAACATAAAGCTGGAGATAGTTCTTTCAATGAGTGAGTTTATAATATTGATTCTCTTTTATTGACTAAGAGTATTCCAATTTTTGTTTTCTATATAAAATAGTATACTTGGGTGTTTACACTGACACTATGGCCTGAAGTTTCCTTAACTTGATATTTTAAGGTGTTAGGAAGTAGATTTTAGTTTCACTTCTTGTGTTAGCCAGATTTCTGTTACTATATGAAATACTCAATGTAATTAACTGAAAAGGTTTATTTTGACTCAGTAGGGGTTCTGGTCTCATAGTTGTGGGCCTGTGACAGTTGAGCACATCATTGTTGTAGAGTGTCAATAGAGCCAAAGTGCCAACCCCAGGGCCATGAAACAAAAGAGAAAAGAGGGGAGCATGCTGGGGTTTCCTCCAAGACCATTTTCCCAAAGATTGAAAGAGCTTCTGATAGGTCCCACCCCCACAAAAGTTCCAGTATCTCCAAATAGTATCACTTTAACACATAAGCAATTAGGGGACAACAACATTCACACTGTAGTATTTTCCAAGTATTTTAAAATAACACCATTTACAATCCATTCATTCTTCAAGACACCTAATATCATGTCTGGCACATACTGCAACTTAATAAGTGTCTACCTGTATCCATCTACAATAATTGTGGGGCATATTTTAGATTCACCATACTACAAGGAAGATATACTTTATAGAGAAATGCACAAGATATTAATAATAAAAGCATCAGTACGTTTCACACCATTTAGCACTATTGTTCTTACTGCAAAACTAACTGTCCTGGATTAATTAAAATGATGTTGAAGTTTATCTGTTGTAACTGGAATCAATTCAAGTATTGATTTTCTAGAATCTCATTTTAGTCCAGAATAAAAGAGGTTCATGTTGGATGGAGATCTTCAAGGATAGCTCGGGTGTTTAGGACAGGACATGGTAATCCCTCCTATGAAAGCAAAAGCCATCTAGTGATATTCAGAAGACCTGGGTGAAACCAATTAGGAGGACTTTTAATCCACAAAACTAATGTTTGTGGGACATTTTGAATGAAAATCTGCAATGTCAGTGTTCAAGAGACTTCAGAGTTCACATAAACTGATTATTTTAAGAGCACATATGGTGACTTAAATCTTTAAAAACAATAGCTAGTAATGTCCTAAAATTTATAGGTATAGGCACATAGAGATGTGTTTCAATGGCCAAGTGCATTTCTAACTCCGGTATTCTCCCCCCCCCCCCAGATCAAGCGTTTGCACTTTCTGCACCCCAGAGTGTGGACATAAGTGTGTGTGTGTGTGTGTGTGTGTGTGTGTGTCCTCATTGAAAACTAACATCCTCTTTGGTAGATAAATGTCAGAGTGTGTATGCAGTTGAATCAAGCATTCCTCATTTAACATCCATGCTCAGCTGGAGCCAGGCTTTAGAACCTGTAAAGCCTAATTGATGCCAGAACAAAAGCAAGTGGCACTGGTTCTTCTGGTATATGCCTGGATTCACTTTCACAAGGCAATAAAAAGCTGCCAGGCCCTGGCTTTAAAGATGGTTTAGTCATGCATGTGATCCCCATCTGCTCAGTGCATGGGGATTTCCTCCTCAGGTCAGCCCTGCAGCTAAACCCAGCCATCACCCCACTCTGGTCTCTCCTCCCCTGCTGAGAGTACACAGGTTTTGTGAACCAGGTGCTGCCAATGTCATTAGTGTAAAATCCTTCTGCAGACACTAGGATGAGCCTGGAATGAGGTTGGGTCTTCATTTTATGTTCTACCTTAACTTTGGCTTAGTTCATTCACAGATTTAAATAAAAAATACTCAAACAGAAAAATGCCCATATTTAATATGAGAATAAACAAAATAAAACAGAATAAAACACTGTTACAAAGCTATCCACAACCTTAACACTGACCGCAAAGCTTTCAAGTTCTCACCTTCTGCAGATGTGAACTGTCTGGGAGGGACCTCATTCTGTGAACCACAGCAGGGGATTCATGTTCCTTCTCTCATTTCTTCTCCCCTCTCTCCATAAACTGAAGAAGGAAACCTGTCTGCCCTAGCCTTAGAAGGGGAGAATGGCTTGAAGACCTCTGTAGTTCATCTGGTCTGACCTAACTAAGGCTTCTACCTTGTTTCCAGATGTTTGCCATGTTTAACCTCTGGTGTTTGTGTTTCTCTTTATTTCCTAAGGTGGCTACCTTAAAATGAGGGTGACAGTTAATATCAAGTTTTGAAGTTGGGCTGACAGAGAAGCTTTAACCTCCCACAGTGTACATGTGAACTGCTGAGACACATGTTTTATCATTAGTGGTCTGACCTATTATTTCTGCAAACTAGTAGTCTTATTTCTGTATGATTTTCTGGTGTATATATGAACTTGAAATGAATCATGATGAAGAAAAATGAGTAGATCTTACTAGTCATGCATTTTTGGAAATTTACAAGCAAAATAAATAACCATTGCTCTTATATTTTCATTTGACACAGATTTATGAAAAATATCAAGAATTGTATACCGTGGAGCCAAATAATGCACGCCAGCTGGTGGAAATTGCAGCCAGAGACATTGAGAAACTCCTGAGCAACCGTTCTAAGGCTCTGGTGGTGAGTTTAGCTTGTATTTTCTCTCTTCATCATTTCCCCTTGGCTATGTGTTATCTATGTCTCTTGCTGTGTTTGAGGTTTTCATTTGGTGTACTTTTTTTCTCTTATTGTGTTCAACTGATGAATTCTTAGTATCAATGCGAGTCTCAAATAAACAGATACTTTTCCTCTACCTGGTGCTTTCTTTGTATTATATTACCATTTTCTTTCATCAGAGATGTAATGGATACATGCAAATTTATACCTATATGAGTCATTATACATTATAATCAATTGACTATATTTCAATCTGTAATAAAACATAACCTTATTATTATTGCTAGGACAGAAACTATTGTGCTCTCCTGTTTCATAATTCCACATTCCTACCAAAGTGACCTTAAGCCAGATTATCAATTGACCACTTCTGACCTTTAAAGGAAGTTTTTCCTTTTATATCTCTGCTTCCATTTTATTGTTATATCATTCTTTATGTCACTTTCAGAGGCTTGCTTTTCCTCACCCACACTGTATTTGTATAGTTCAGTGACTTTTATTTAGCTTTAATTTATATATAAGTCCAGTTCAGCATCATTCTGATATAACTTAGTGGAGGACTAAGACTGTGGATTCTATCAAAACCTAAACCAGTATCTATGAGTGTCTATGGGAGATTGGTTCAAAGACCTGTCCCCCCCATAAGCAGAGATTCACAGTCCTTTGTGTAAAGTGATAGAATATTTCCATATAACATACATGCATCTTTCTGAATTCTCTAAATTATCTCTCATTAATGACAAAACCTAAGCAATGCAAATGATACATTGGTATCTATTGTTTAAGAAAAAAAATGACAGGAAATATTCTATACATGTTCTATATTAATCCAATTCTAAAAATTGCTATTTATGATAGCTTGAATTGGCTGGTGAGTTCATTGACCTAATTATACTGTAGTTTTCCTGTGATCAAGATTTAGTCATAAACTGACATATGAGATTAATGACAATTATTACTAATAAAGTTATAGTTAAGTAATAAAAGTATCCTCCAAATATTTTGTTTAACTGTGTTCACACATCTTGTGGTGATTTAAGATGACTCATGACTAAGTGGTGAAATGAGGTGGTTACACTAGGCAGTATGCTGTGGCAAAGGCTGTAAGAACAGTGAGACTATTGTGGTCTTGTGATAACTGAGGTGGCTGTTATACTAAATGCCTGCATAAAAGATTGCTTATACATTATGGATATCCTGCTGGAATCATGTTCTGGGCTATATTGAGTGGGGTTTTATTATTGTATTCAGGATGGCATGAAATTTAAAGTGTATGGATTAATTATTTCCAGAATTTTACTGTTTATAGTATCAGGCATGTATGAACATAGGTTTTGGGCACCATGGAAAATAAAACCACAGATAATAAAGGATGGTTATATTCGCAATCAGATAGTAATTGAGGAGCATCACAGATTCAGTCTAGTACAGTAGATTGCCAGACAAAGGTGAATTCCCAAAAGTACCTCATATAACTATAATCCCTAACATTTTGTCTGCTTAGTTCTCTACTTGGAATAGCTAAGGTTTTATTAGTTCATATTCTGAACAGATGCAACAATGTCAGAGTTCTTAATTTCCTGCAAGTAAATGGCTATAAAATGGGATGTACCTCTGCTAATTTCTGACGAGGCAGAACTTTCAGTTTGAAGAAGTATACATTTAATCACTACCCTTTAGTCTCCAGTGAAATATCTGTTCATATCATTTGAATATTGGTGTTCGTTTGGTTGATATTAAGATGGTCAATTCTTGGTGTTATGTAGAGTAGTTAATTCTTTTTTTGTGACTTTTTAATTGTCTTCGTTGTGTACTTTGCTAAATCCTTCATTTTAATGTTTTAAGAAGTCCTCCATTACTATTAAATCATACACACCATTTTACAATTAATTAATCCTAATGGTTGCTAAGTTTTGTTATCCATATCCAAGTATTTAATACATTTGCAGCAGAATTGGTATATAATTTCAGGTTTCAATTTAACCTTTTCAAAGTTGATTTTCCAATGATCATTTATTGTGCAGTTTCCCTTCCTCTGTTTACCTCTGGTCCCTGTGCTAAACATCTGGGCTCTTAAGTCTTTTACCAAGTGCGTTGTACTTTCACACTACTAGAGCTTATTTTTTTTTTATTTTTACTCTAAATAATATAGGTTTAGTGTGTGATTAGTATGGGAAATCTAAGCTGGAATTTTGTTTTTGATATTATTATTTATTCGGAAAACTTAGGGAAATGCCTTTTACCTCCAAACAGTTATCTTAACCTTCAGATTTCTAAATGCATTCTTAAACACTAATAAATCTTTTAGTTATGACTCTTAAGGCATCTACAATGTTATCTTGTTGTAAGGTGGTAGGAGGAATATCTATTTTTATATCTGGTTTTTCAAATTTCTAGTTCAATATTATAATTTAAAATATTTAGCAACTTTATCCATGGTAAGATGAACTGATTAAAAATATTATTACCTCCAATTTTTATGAGATTAATGCCACTTTAAAACACTTAGAGTTATAAATGTTTGCAACCTAAACTTTAATAACATTAAGACCTTTCTACTGAAGTGCTTAAGATCCTGATAACATCTGAAAGACACTGTTGGATGAAGGCTGTGCATCGTGTCTTCATCAGATTGACATGGGGATTTGAGAACTTTTCTTACTTGTCATTTTTGGTTGAAGTTAAAGACAGCTGATGTGTTCTTTGAATTCTGTGTGTATGGGGTCAGTGATGATATTACCTGCATGATAGTAGAGTACAGGAGTCATGATGGATATTTAGCAGGAAATTCGTTATGTCTCAGAGACAGGTTCATGTTTGTTTTCATACTGTTATTCATTTAACTTGCATAAAAATAGAAAAGATGATTTCATAGGAGCTATGATATGCTGTTAATGAATGGAAGGTGGCATTTTTCATTCACTTCTATTTTTGGTATAGGCTATAGGAAGGGAGATTAAAGCAGCTTTCATTTACCTGAGTGTTGTACTTTCACAGTTTTATATAAAACATAGTTGAAAAATCATGAACATTCAAATAAGAGGTAGATGATAGAACTTCATATCATTTATACTTTCTTGATTACTGATTACTAAATAGAATGAGCTAATGATTCCTCACAGTGATACTGTGGTGGAGATACTATTATTAGATTCACTTTTCAATGTGGAAACTGGGTCCTTTTGGACTCTTGACACTTGCCCAAGGAAATATCTCTAATACGTAATGTGTGCAGTGCTTCCAGAATTTAACGTGCACATGTCACATATGGCTTTGGTTAAAATGCAGATTTTATTGAGTAGACTGAGCTGGGATACGTTTCTAATAAGCTTCCAGGTGGTGTCAGCATGTCCTTTATGAAGCCAATTGGGCTGTCAGGACATGAGGAGGCAAATTCATTTGTTTCTGACCTCAGGCACTGCTTTACATACTGAACAAGTCTGTCCTTTATCTGAAGAAATGTAAAACAAAAATCAGGAAAGAAAAACCAAATATACTTGTTGAATTTTTTGTTCTATTTTTTTTATTTGGAAGTGTGGCTGTGAGTGCTCTAAAAATATGTCACAGTTGTAATCATTCATTTGTATTGTTTATAGATATCCTGCCTCTACAAATATCCTAATTTAATCTTTTATGCCCACACTGATACATTCAGTCATTTTATGTTTATGGTTTATTTGTTCCATAGCCATTTTTTTTTTAAAATTTTCCTCAGAATATTCTTGGAAAGTGGAGCTATATGATTGTTTTTGTAATTGGATTATTTGCAACACAACCTTGGATCTAATGACGTTTAGGAGTAAAAGTGAAATAATTGTTAAATATTACTGTTAGCATGCATTTCAACATGAACGAGACAGAAATGTCTGCAGGTGTTAATGAACAATCATGGCAGAAAGCTTTTCAACAAAACAATCCAATGGTGTCCCCTGAGAGATGGATGTAAATGAAATTGGTGGTCTCTTTATTCAAGAGCTGGCTGGGCCAAGGGATCTGCTTGGGAAATGTAGGTCTCTGGGCATTTTGTTAAGTGGATCAAAGTTATAATAAACAAATTATTTCATTTGATGTTTTTTCCAATTATGGCGTATACTTTCCCCTCGTTGTCCCAGTAACTTTAATTAAAATGGCCCCAACTTATCATGATGCTTTATATATTGTAATTTGCTCTACTTCTTAAGTTAACCTTGATAGTCAAGTTAAGAGTTGAAAATTAAAAGGAAAAAAAATGTCACTAAGACTTTTGTTTGTTAGTTTCTGGAAGGACTATTCATCTAATGGAATAGTAAAACTATATTTCTTAAGCTGTTAAGCTAATAGTTTTTCATTTCTCATATGTTATTGTGTAACTTGTCTGGTGGAGATGTAAACAAACTACATTTCATTACATTCTGGGCATCAGCAATACTATTGCAGGCCTTTCTTTGGATCACCAGTTTCCAAATAATGATGCGGATACTTCTTATTAGTTATGAAAGTTTGGCCATAGCTTAAGCTTGCTCAAACTAGCATTTTAAACTTAAAATAACCTGTTTATATTATCTAAGCTATGACACATGGCCCATTAACTCTCCTCAGTACAGTAAGTCCAACTTCCTCTCCATATAACTGGTGAATCTCCCCCCTACTCCTATCTGTCTCAGATTATTCACCCAAGTTCTTCTCTCTCCCCAGAAGTACTGCCTATTCTCTCCAGTCCTTCATTCAACCAATCAGAAGGTGCCTTAGGCAGGTGAGGTGAGATAAAAATATCACACAGTGTGATCAAATATTGCCCAAACAAGAGTCAGAAGAGACGATTCCATCCAAACCTAGTTTAGTGAACCAACAGTTTATTTGTGTTACTTAAAGAGCGTGGGTGATTCAGCATACTGCATCACTGAACAGCACATCCCAGAATGGGTGATGAGTCAGGAAATCTGTATCAATAGATTTTCCTCCACAGCTTGCCTGTTCTTCATTGA